TCGGGGACATTGTTGCGGGCCTGCACCGCCGCGGCGACGTCGGCGAGCTTGACGGAGAGCGGGTAGGCGCCGCTTGTGCCCACCCGCCAGGGCAGCAGCAGTGCCTTGGGCAGGCTGCCCCCCCCGGGCAGCTTGGCCTTGGCGACCCACTCGCGCAGCTCGGCGTCGGTCGAGCACTCGGTGATCGCGCAGCCGAGCTTGTGGCCCAGCAGGTGCGACCAAAAGTTGAAGGGCGCGTCTCTCTGCAGCGCACTCTCCACCAGTAGGACGCCCGCCGCCGCCTCGTCTCCCTCCGCCGCCGCGGTGCCCCACCTGACGGCCCACGGCACGAGCGAGTCGAGGAAGAGGGCGGTGCCGAGGCCCTTGCGCTGCATGTCCTTTCGGATGCCAAACGCGAGAAGGCACGCTCCCCAGAAGGCGGGCTGGCCGCGGCGGCTCGTCCCTCCGCCAACCTGCACCAGCGAGAGGCAGGCGGCGCCAACCACCTCGCCGTCGTACCTTGCGATGGCGAGGTGCAGGTTCTGCATCGCCTCGTCGCTCTCCGAGTTCACCTAGGGAGAGATGGGCGGGGGAGGTGAGAGTCTCAGGCGAGTGGCGGTGGCCAGCTGTGAGTAGTGGCGCCAGCTGCTTGGCCGGGTCGCGCGCAAAGTTTTGGATGAGCTCGCCGCTCTCGCCCTTCCTGAGCTTGATCTTGACGAGGCATTCGAGCAAGGCGTGCTGCTTCGGGAAGCAACCCTTGAGCACCGCCAGGGCCTCGTCCCGAACCTCCTTGTGCACGCCCTTGACGGGCTCCGGTGGGTCGAGCACCAGCCTGGAGAGGTCGAGCTGCCGCCCTGCCGCCTCCTCGCTCTCGCTCTCCTCCTCCCCTCCCTCCTCCTCCGGCGGAGGCGTGCCGGGAGGCGTCCCGGGCCCCTCCCCCTCCTCCTCCTCGTCGTCGTCGTCCTCGTTCTCGTCCTCCTCCTCCTCCTCGTCCTCCTCCTCCTCGCCTGCCACCACCGTTGGGTCCTCCTCCTCCATGTCCTCGCTGACGATGTCGGTGTGCGCGTCGGACGCGTCGCTATCCTCGCCCGCCTCGACTCCGCCAGCGCGAGCGCTGCTCAGGGGGCGGACGAGGTCGAGGGAGACCTCCGCCTTCCCGCCTGGCAACAAGCTCAGCAGGCAAGACTTGCCCTCCCGGCCATCATACGTGGCACGCCGCCACCGCCCGTGCACGCAAGCCTCGCAGCGCTGCCCCCGCTGCAGCGAGCGCTCCCAGCCCGGCTGGGGCGGGGCCGGCGGCCGACGCACGCGGCCGAGCAAGTCCTTCTTGCTGTGTCTCACCACCTCGAGCCGAGCGGCATCCGCCGGCACGAGGAGGCCGCGCCCGGCCTGCTCCTCCACTTTTGCCTTTGGCACGACGATGGCGCTGTGGTGGACCGGCACCGGCGGGACGCACACGCGGACCCAGCGGGTGCGCTCGAGGCCACCCCCGCCGCGCTGCAGCAAGCTGCCGAGGGTCTCCCCGGCGTCGCCCTCGTCTTTGGCGTGCAGCGTGAGCCGGCACTTCGCGTCATCGCCAACCACAACGTCGACGGCGCTGCCCTCCCTGCCCTCCGTCGCCACCACCCTCGCCTGCCGCCACCGCCCGCAGCCCTCCTCGCCGTCGAAGGGCGCGGCGCGGCTCGACGCCACGAAGCAGAGGTCTCCGACGGCGGGCAGCTCGCCGGTCAGCGGCGCGGAACGCTCGACGCCGGTAGGCCCTCTCGGACGCGCGCTGCGCCCGGCGGCTGGCAGCGCCGGCTGCAGCAGCACGACCGTGCCAGCCGGCAGCGGCGTGTCGCCTCCATCGAGCCCGTTGAGCTCGAGCAGCGGCGGGAGGGCGCGCCCGTACCGAGCCGCGATCTGGGCGGCCGTCTCGCCGGCGCCGCCCGACGAGTCGCCCTCATCCTCGTCCGAGGAGTTGTCCCTGTCCCAGTAGCTCACCGGCGGCGGTGCGACGATGTGGTACTCGGGGAGGAGGACCGGCGTGTGCGCTTGCAGCTGGTTTTTGAGGTTGACCTGGAGCGCAGGGAGCGGGGCTTAGCGGGCGGCCCACATGGCCGGCGGGCGGTGTGGCGGCTGCGGCCTTTCGCTCGCGCGTCGCCAGCGGGCCAAAGGTCTGGAACGCGACCAGTTTTGACTCCACCTTGGCCACCACCGCCGGCTCGGTGTAGAAGCGGCGCACGATGTGGTGCAGCGTGTCGTTGTCGTTGGAGCTGTACAGCGGGGCGCCCAGCGGCGGCTGCGGTTGCTCATCCTGCAAGGGTAGAGGGCGAGGCTCGGGCCAGAACGGGCAAGTGCGGCGTGGCGGCTCGGAAGCGCCTGCACAAAGACGCCGCGCAGGTGGCGGCTTCCCCCCTCCACGACCTCGATCACGCGCGCCGGGACAGGCTCAAAGCCGGAGCGTATCGCCGTCCCGCTCAGCCAATTGCGCTCCACAGCCTCCTCCGCCTCCAGGCCGTGCACACACTCCACCTCGTGCGCCTCCACCTCGTCGCGCGAGGCCGACTCGAACCCGCACCTGGCGGGGGGCGGGTGCTGAGCCTGCTGCGAAGATGAGGCGGCGGCGGGCCGCGGCTAGACGGCACCCGTGCTCGCACTCCAACTCGTTGCCCTCCCCGCCAGCGCCGCCGCCTTTGCTCGTCCACGAGCTCGCTGCCCCCTCGCCCCACTCGTCGTTCTGGCCGAGGCGCTGCGCCGGGCAGCGAGGCCGGCCGGACGCCTGCTGGCCGCTATACGACTGCTGGCCGCTATACGACTGCTGGCCGCTCTCGCTGCCTGCGTCGCCAATCGCCTTGCGCGCGCCTGCAAGGGACTGGAATCGCTCGCCGCCTGGGCTGACAGCCCGGTAGTGGCCGCTGCCCTTGGCGTAGACCAGCCAGCCCGCCGGCAGCCCCCTTTCGGCCGCCAAAGCCGCCGCCGCCGCCGCCTCCGGGGCGTCGCCGCCGCCGCGGCTGCTACTGCTTGCGGCGGCGGCCGGCGCGGCGGCGCCCGACGCGTCGCTCATCGCATCGACGTCGATCGGGTCTTCGTTGGCGCCTGCCCCGCCTGTAGCCCCGCTGCCTCCAGCGGCTCCGCTCCCACCACCGCCGCCGCCCCGGCCAGGCCGCGAGAACCGCGAGGAGCGCTGCCGCTTCGCCTCCCTCTCCCCCTCGCCGCTGTGCTCCAGAAAGCGAAGCTCCGCGGGCTTGAGCTGGTCGAGCCAGCGCATCGCCGGCCTATCGAGCCAGCCCACGCCCGGCACGTCGACCGTGAGCGTGACCTCGTAGACGACGCTCGAGCGGCCCTTGAGCAGTTGTGCCACGTCCTTGACCTTGGCCTCATAGCTGTCCGCTTCTCCGACTGCGACCGATTGCATGTTCATCGACTGCGACCACAGCGTATAGGGCTCGGAGGGGGAGTACATGTATCGGTCGCCCTTTCGCGGCGGCGGGGCGGGCTCGTCACGCTGCGCCGGCGGCGTGTTGTTCGGCGGCGACTTCGACAACGGCAGGCTGGCGGTGGCGCCGCCCCCGCTCGTCGCTGCGCGCGGCGGCAGCGGTGCGGTCTCTCCCACCTCCGCCTCACCCTCTGCCGCGAGCCGCTCGTCCGGCGCGCGCTGCGCCTCCGCCTCCGCCTCCGACCCCTCCTCCTCCGCTGCCTCCGCCGCCTCCGCCTCCATCTCCTCTGCGCCCACCGCCGCCTCCGCCGCCGCCGCCGCCGCAGCCAGCGCCGCCTCCGCCTCCATCTCCTCCGCGCCCACCGCCGCCTCCGCCTCCATCTCCTCCGCTCCCACTGCCGCCTCCGCCGCCGCCGCCGCCGCAGCCAGCGCCTCCTCCTCCATTGGCTCCACCCCTGCGGACGGCGCCCCCTCGCCCTCCATCGTCGCATCGGTGGGCGGAGCGGCGCCCGCCGCGTCTGCCGCCGGCGACGCAGCGTGCTTGGCGGCCTCCTCTGCCACGTGCTCCGCCGCGTGCTCCGCCGGCGCGGTCTCCTCCATCGCGCTCGCACCCGGCTGCCCCTCCGGCGCCTCCTCCGGAGCCTGCACCGGCGCAGCCTCCCCGCTCGCCGCCTGCCCACCCGCAGCGCCGTCAAACGGCACGTAGCCGGAGGTCGCGGTGCCGCCTTCCGAGAAGCGGGCGGAGAACGTCAGCCGCTCCTCGCCCTCCTCGCCGTTTTTCGGCTCGTCGCTCGTAGATGCTCCGCTCATCTCAGCAAGCGACATCGAAAGCACAGGCTGTCAAGCGACCCTTCGCTTTGGCGCTCACCTGCTGTGGGCTCCGTGAATAAGCTCTAGCAGTGAATAAGCACCCACCTGGGGGCGACAGGGAGGATGTGGCCTTGAGTTATGTGTACGCCAACTCAGGGTGTGTGGCAGCCAGCTGGCTGTGTGTCTTGTGAGCCTGTTTGTGTCTGTGTGTCGCTCGTGCGTGTCGTCATCATCTGTAGTCTAGCGTCCACCCATAGCCATACGCATACCGCGTTGGCAATGTCCAGTCCGAGCCTGGCTGTTCTTCACCTTTCTACCTACCTACCTACACACCTAACCTAACCTAACCCTGAACCTGGCGAGGTACTTCCAGCCTGCTGTGGGAACAGGCAACAGCGGCTGAACGCTGCTCGCCAAGGCTCGCCCCAGCATCTCGGGTTCCCTCGCCGCCCCCCCGGGCAAGGGGGGGGGACCCCGTGAGGCGTGGGAGTGCCTTGCCACCTCGCCAGCCCTGAAGCTGAACCCTCGCGTCGTTCTCCCGTCTGCGACGGTGTATCATTCACTTTATGCCACCGTTTGCAAATCCGGATATGCAACGGTGGCATAAAGTGAATGATACACCGAAGTGAATGATACACCGTCGCACCGTCTATGGTCTAACGACAGGAAACAAACCATCTCCGCCGGCCCACCCGCCAGAGACCCCGGGTTTCCTCAGAACCCGAAAAGATGACGCCGGGGCGCAGATCTCTCTCAGGTCCTTCCGCGCTCGCAAAAGGCGGCGCGGCGAGGGTCACCTCACCTTGGAGAGCTCCCACACGCTTGAGTTGCGCTTGGTGTCGAAAAAGTACCACCGCTTGTTCGACTTGCTCCACACCACCAGCCAGTTGGCGGGCAGCGCCACCGCCGGCTTGACGGACCCGTCGACCATCGCAGCCTCGGGCAAGTTGGCCAGCGGCGCACCCGCCGCCGGCCCCCCGCCTCCGCCAGCCGCCGCCCCGCCCGCCGCCGCCGCCCCGCCGCCCGCCCCACCGCTGATCTCGTCCCGCCCGCGCTTCCGGCTCTCTCCCGCAGGGCCCTGCTCGCCGCTGGCGCCGCCGCCGCCGCCAAAGCCGCCGCCAAAGCCGCCGCCGTCGCCGCCGCCAAAGCCGCCGCTGCCGCCAAAGCCGCCTCCGAAGCTGGGCACCGCGGGCTTGGCCACCAGCGGCCGCGTCGCGATTCTGTGCCAGTGCGGCGGCTGCGGCGGCGACCACGTCGCCGGCGACGGCACCGCTGACTCGAACCGCTGCCAGAGCGCCTCGAGCAGCGGCGGCGAGTAGACTCCGGGGGGTCGCGCCTGATTCGCGCGGGGCGGGCCCGTCCTGTGCGTTGCACCTGGGAGGGCGGGGAGGGACGGGGCGGGGCGTCGCGCCACGGCAAACGCGTCGAGGGCCTTTGCGAGCGAGGCGTGCTGCGCGAGGTACGACACAATCATGAAGCCGGTCGTGTTGACGCCGGAGAGGCAGTGGACGGCGACGTGGAGCTTGGCGTTCCGCGCCTCCTTCCAAAACCCGCCCACCAGGCCCACAAACTCCTTCACGCTCGCCTCGCTCGGCACGACCTCCACGAGTGGTGCTCCGAGGCTGCCGGCGGGCGCGACCTCGAGGCTCTCGTAGCGCACGTCCCAGTCGTCCCAGTCGTCGGTGGCGTAGAGGCGACGCCCGCTCGCGGAGGCCGCCATCAGGTCGACACAGAGCCCGACCGAACGCCCCTGCTGCGTCTGCCGCTCCACAAACATCGACGGCGAAAAGGCGTGCTCCGGTTCGACCATGTCGGCAACGGGGCACTTGATCGGGATGAATCCGGCGCACGGCTTGCCAGTGCGAGGCACCTCGCACCAGTCGAAGGACGGGCGGGGCGCGTCCATCGGCGGAGCTGCAGCAGCAGCGCCAAAAATGGAAAAAAATTCGCGCTCTCAAAAAAAAATAAAAAACAAAAAAGCTGTGTGTGGGTGCGCATTCGCAGGGAGGGGGCCGTGGCTCCGTGCACGTATGGTACTACCTAGACAAGGTCTCAAAAACAGACCACGGGGAATGGATGGATTTCAGCCTTGTGCCTTGGCGTTTTAGCTCTTGGGGATTTTGATCAAGACTGATTGAATCTGGCGTCACAAGATCTCAAACTAACGAGTGGGTGAATGTCAAAATCCCATCACCGCAGTGCAACGCCCGAGCCAGATCGCCCAGAAATCTTCCCGGGCGGAGGCAGGTATCGGCTCCGCAGGCGCTTCCCGATGGCGGCATCGAGCATGGGTGCCCAAAACAGAGCCGCAGCGAAGCCGTGGTAGTAGAAGCCGTTTGGGAAGAGGCCGTCCAGCGCTGCGAACCTCACGCATCCGACCGCGAGCAGCGTGTGGATCCCACCAAACATGGTGCAGCCGTGTCGCGTGGCTGCCTCGCGTGCACTCAGTGCGACCAGCGCAGACGTGCCCACGCAGAGCAAGGCGGAGCCGAAGAAGGTGCAAATGGCCACCGCCGGGTCGGCCGAACCGTGGAGCATATCCTCCATCCACGCCGTGTTGTAGTCGACGAGCGGCGCGATGTTTATGCACGGCGAGATAACGCCGAGAGCCGTCGCAATGATTTTTAGGCCCGCAAAAATCTCAACGGTGGTCAGCGCGAGCGCTATTGTCCAAAGTGGTGGGAGGCGCTTGCAAATTTGCCGTGTCGACCAACGCTCGACGGACTTGCTGATGGACATTTACCAAGCGATGCCTCGCAAGGCGCGCGATTTCCTCACCGGTGAGAAAAAGAAAAGAACGCGTGCGAGCTGTTTGGCGTCATCGTGTGTGCCTTCGCTTGTTCCTATTAACAACGAAGTCTAGCTCAAAAGAAAAGAATTTTCCTGTGTGGTTTTTTTTGTCCCAAAGGCCTTTTTAGGCACAAGAAAAAATACGCGGCTCGCATGGCGTTCGCCTCCTTGCTGAGGAATCCTCATCTGGTGGGGACGGAAATTTCTTGGCCCACCCACACTCTCACCATACATCAAAATCGTGAAAAACGAACGACGGTCCGGCTGCGCAGCTTCTCCCTGAGCTCTAGCCTGAGCTCTATCAACAGTCAGACAAACGACTGGGCCACAAGCGCGGTATGGGTGGACGCCCCCTGTGTGCTGTGTGTGTGGACGCTCTAAACTTCGTTACGAGGGAATGGGCCGAGGTCTGAAGCTCACCCATTGAGGAAGTGAGAACTGCTCGGCCCACCCCTGATCCTGCTGAACAAGCTCCTCTTGTAGCTCGATCGGTCACACCGCCATCACCGTCGAGGAGAGGGGGGACGACACTGCTTCGGCAGCGTGCATCTCGATCCCGTACCGTGTTTGTTATGACCCCCCCCAGTGAACAATCCAGTGAGTGAGGGAGGGCGAGACGATCGAGGGGTCCCGTACCACGCGGAATGGACCCTATCCAGTGCTCAAGTGCTCAAGGGAATGGGCCCTATCGGAATCGACCCTGTCCGTGCTCAAGTGCTCAACGTGTTTTAGTCACAGCGGCAGCTACAAAAGGGACGGACGGTCGTTGGCTCCCCGCCCGGCTCACCGCTGTCGCAAGAATGGGCAATCCGATACGTGGTCTCCTCGTCCTGCTGCTACCGCTCCTTGCTGATGGCGGGGACGCCAGTGCTGATTTACTCGGTGCACACGGAGGCATCGCCCCCAGCATCGCCCAACAGGCTATCAACGCTGCCGATCTCGCGACCAAGGCTGCAGACCTCGCGACTGCCAACGCTCTTGTTGCTCGCAACCTCGTCGGCCTCGCGGGCCAGACGGTGCAGAGGACATCCCAGGCGGTGAACAACAACATTCCAGGCAACGTCCCCATTGGAATGCCGAATGTCGGCGTCAGCAACACCAACCTCTACTCCAGCGAGAACCACACAGAGCCCGTGCTGCTGGAGGAGTATCCGCATGTGTGGCACCAGCTGCCGCAGAGGGCGATAGGCTACAAGCACAGGAGGGGATCTGCGTCTTACTCGACCAGTCGCAATACCTTTATGCAGATGCTTATGATCTGCACAATGGAGAATGGGAATGCCGAGAGCCAGTCTCCTGAAGAGAAGGGGATGCAGCTTCTTCCCATGCCAACGATGGGGACAATCCTCTTTCCGATGCAGGTAGAAAACAGATAGAACTGTCTGACCAGTGGCGGCGGGATGCAAGCGAGACGGTCACCACCACAGACACACAGACAAGACTCAGCCAGCGGGGAACGCCACACACACCTGACTGAGCGTTCCGCACTCCGCCACGCATGGCCGCGTTCCACCGAACAGGTCATGATGACGGGCAGCTCGGGGTTTGAGGAGGCGGTCTGCACGTTTGACTTTGAGATCATGCGCCCGTCGTACCTGGTGATGCTCTGCATCGCGTCCATTGGCGGGCTGTGCTTTGTACGCCCCCCCCCCCCCCCCGCAGTCGCACGCTTTCTTCGCCCACTGTCGCTGTCTTGCGCTCACCCGATGAGATGCCGCCCGCAGGTGATCATCTACCCGCCTCGCGCCTACCTGCGCTCCATGGACCTCTTCCTCGCCAAGCGTCTCTCGCTGGGCGGAAAGGTGTTCGTCGAAACCAAGGTGGACACGATGGTTTGACGATCTCTGGTTTGACGATCTCTAAGCGCTTAGGGGTTCAAGCAAGGCTCTTGCCAGCTCATCCCGACCTCAGCGAAACTGGCTGGAGCTGTGGCGTCGACCCCAAGGCAGCAGCAAGTACTGCTTTCGCGCGTGCGGCATACCGCCGTGATAGGTCCTCTCGCACGATGTGCTCGAGCGCCGGTGACTAGGAGTTGCACGAGCCGACAGCCTCTCCGCATCGTATCAAGCAGGCTGAGGACGACGTGAGGAAGACGTGGCACGTGCCCTCGCGCGGCGCAGGAGGGTTCGCGGGAGGCCGCGGGCGAGGCGTGCCCTCGTGAGAAAGCGACACAGCTGATTGATGCAGTCGATGGGCATCCCGAGTCGATGGGCATCCCGACTTGGCTCGCTCAGGAGGAGGAGCTTTGCACGTGTGTTATGAGTGCCGAACAAGCTACCAGGCGCGGGCCCCCGCCGCAATGCGACGGCCGCACACAACCACACCCAAACACTTTGATAATTTTGCAGGCTCGTTGTGCGAGTATATGGGACACGATGTCTCAAATATGAGGGGTTTTGACTCCTACCGGCTCCTGACGCTACCCCTGGCAGCTCTAATGACCAGGATCAGTAGTGTTGTGATAGAGACTGCCCATACTAGCGCAGGAGCTGCCACACTCGCCCGGATCGTCCCCTTCTGGGGCCGGTTCCGCAGCCCGCGAGAGCCGACAGCGGGGCCGTGCCGCGGGTGCCTACTGCCGAGTGCCACAAACACTGCGCCGTCCCGCCATCACCTACAGGCTGTCTTGTGTGATGGTTGGGATGTCCAAACGCCACCATCTTGGCTCTTGCGACCTCAAACCCGCGAGCTGTATGGGTGGTCCTGACGTCGACAGACGCCCGAGGACCACGGTGAAGCTGAGCCGGAACGAGTCGATAAGTCTCGTCTGAGCCCGTGGCGGTCGCCGGCTGAGTTGCCGTGCACGGGCCGGTACCTCAGGCGTCACCTCCGCAGCCTCAGATCTCACACTCCACCACCTCCGCCAGGACGCCGTCGGTGGCACGCTCGGCGGCGAGTTTGTGGCAGCCCCACAGCGAGCGCGGCGTCGAGCCTAATCGGTCTGGTCGGTCGGCCGCACTCACCGGGTGCCAGGGAGTGCGGCCGACACTCGAGCGGTGCTTCCTGGCAGCGCGCGCCGGCTGTGGGGCTGCCACAAACTCGAGACACGCTTTTTTGCGACATTTTCGACGCTTTTGTCCCATATACTCGCACAACAAGCCTGCAGAATTGCGCGTCACCTCTCACGGTCTCACACTCAGGGGCTCACAGGGGGTCGAGCGGGGACACGACAGTGCAGAGTGGAGAGTGCTCCGGTGCTCGCTCTTACTCTAACGCCTCTGTCTGTCTGTTAGTCTAAGATTTATTATAACTTCCAAAGGCCTAGAGGCGGGCGCCCCGCGGACGTGCACGAGACGTGAGGAGCGAGCCCGCCCCCCACCTCTCCCGCAAGACCGGGGGGTATCTGTGAGAAGTGAACCCACACCCGCAACCACGCAACACACACACGTCGGCCATCGCCGTTCTCTACACCGCCGAAACAACGCGTCCCTAAAGTGCCTACGGCTCTACTGCCACACGCATCACCGGCTGCACGGCTCGCGGCTCGAGGGGGTGGCTCGCCCCACGAAAAGCTGACCCCCGAGGAGGAGGCCCGCACCGCCCTCCTCCTCCCGCGCCGCCGCCCACACGCGGCGCCTCACGCCTCGAGCCTGCCGATGAGCACGTCGTCGAACTCGCTGAGCATCGCCTCGTTGTGGATGTGCTCAAAGGCGACCTGCGTGGGTCACACCGGCAGCCGTGAGCGGGCGCCGCTCACATCGCGGGCCTCACCGCGCATGTGGCGGACCGTCCCATCCGCGCCGCCCAAATCGCTGATGGAGGTTGGGCCGGCAGGGTGCTCGTCGAGGAAGGAGGCGAAGTCGTACACGCGCCCGTACAGCCCCACCCAACACGGCTCCCCCTCGCCGCACCCGCCGTGCGCCTACTCCTCACCGCGGCCTCACCTCACCTCGGCCAACCTCGGCTCATCTCTCGCCGCAACCGCCGCGCCGCCTTGAGCTCCGAAGCGCTCACCGCCCGCGGCTCGGACGCCGCACCGCCGCCGTCCGACGGCGCAGCGAAGTCGGCGGCGGCGGCGGCGGGAGAAGCGACGGACGCCGGAGCGGCCACGGCGGCGGCGGCGGGAGCGGACGCGGCGGCGGTCGAGGCGGCGTCGCGCGCTCGCCGCGCCTCGGCCGCCTTGGCGGCGAGCTTGTTGCCGACGATGGAC